CAAAGAGATCCATGTGAAGTAATTCAAATGGACGAGTGGTAGTCATGACAGTCTTCATTGGATGCTTGGCCTTTGTCATCTTTCCAGCTTCACAAGCTCCGCATAAGTGATCCTTGAGGAATTTGACATTTTCAATGCCAATGACGCGCTTCTTCTTCGCAAGCGTATGCAGATTCCTCATGCCAGCATGACCAAGTCGTCGATGCCATAGCCAGTTCTGAAGCTTTTGCAAGTAAGCACACGGCTGGTTGAGGTCCTGTAGAGAAATCAACAATATACAGATCTCCTCTCCTAAAGCCTTCGAAGACTTTGGAATGGTCAGCTTCCATGATCACAACACAACGATATCTTCCAAAGACAACAACCATATCAAGATCACAAAGCATTGAGACAGACATAAGGTTGTATCCTAAGGACTCGACAAGCATGACTTTGTCCATGTGTCGATCCTTTGAGATCGCAACCTTACCTAGACCCAATACCTGACTTTTGCCTTTGTCAGCGAAGATGATATGCTTCAGATGTGACGGTGATAAAGGAGCGTCCATCAATAGATTCTTTTCACCCGTCATGTGATTTGTACATCCACTATCGAGGACCCACTCGTTTGCTTTGGGCTGATCATCCTGCAGATGAATTAGTGCAACTTACGAACTCATATACTTCATTAGTGAAGAATATGACATCAATATCATCAGTTCAATTTCATCAAGCAATAGCACAGATAAAACAGTATGAGGATGTGAGAAATGAAAATTCATTTCTTCATGATTAGCCTGCGTCCTTTCAGGCATACTCAGGTCTCTAGCAATTTCTTCCGTCGTTTTGAGCACGACTGGAGACCTGACCCTGCATAAGAGATTAGTTCTTTTTCTTCACCACCCATATCTGAAGGGGTGGCAAAGAGTTCATCACTCTGCGAGCACCATATGAGAAAAGTGGCATAGAAGATAGTCCACTTCGTTTCACATAAGAGGGGTTAGGGTAAGCATATGAATAAGCAGAGAAATTGTTCGAGGACTTATGAACATAATTATTTGAAGAATAATGCGCATATTCATAGACCTTAGCTCTACCATGCGAAATAGAAGGGTTAACACAATGATGATCATATGAGGACTTTGATCCATTTGAGGAATTTGATCCATATGAAGAATTAGGTCCATATAAAGAATTTGATCTGGGGTTCCTGTTCTTCACAGGTGGTGTCATGAGGACATTCACCTGAAGACTTTCAAGATAACTTTTGGGAACCCAGATTTTCCTCATAGGAGAACCGTTCCTGGAGTTTGTACCAATATATCTAGCAAATACTTCACCATTCTGATTTTTGAACAGTTTATAGTTGGAGTCAAATGACTCATCAGAAGAATGAAGAGACTCACATGTAAAGCCAGATAAGTTGGATGGATCAACTGGAGGTCCCTTTGCAGCAACCCATGAGGTTTTGGGGTACTGCTCAGGCTTCCAATATGTTCCATCAGCATTGAGTTTCCTCTCAAAGGCAATACCCTCTTTCCTAGGGTTTCTGTTGAGGATCTGCTTTTTGAGCACATCACAAAGAATTTGATGCCCGTTAAGGCTTTGGTACATGCCTGTTGTGTACAATTCCTTCAGCCCTGCATCATCAGTGGTACTAGCATTGTCCTCACATGAGGAATTAGTGATAGCAGAGACAAGTGAAGAATTTGTAACATTTGAAGCATTTGAACATTCAGGTGAAGAATTAGCAGATTCATGTTCGATGCACTTAAGACATGGAGGAACAAATTCTTCCTGGTTAGCACTGATTTGTTGAGCAAGTAATGAATCACGCTCCTTCTGAAGATCTTCATAACACACTCTTAGCTTCTCAAGATCTTGCTTTCTTTGAAGAAGTTCAAGAGAAAGTTTCTCGTGATCAGATAAGAGAGCGTTATGATGACCTTGGAGGACGTCAAACTTGGAATGGAGACCCTGAAGACTTTCAGCCAATGCTTTTGACTGATCCATTTCTTCACCCAACATATCATCGCTCTTATTTAGCATGTATTGAACTTTTTCCAAAGCTCTTTGTTGTTTAGTGGCAAGGGAAGCAAGTTTAACATAGCTAGGTCCAAATTCATCGCCAGATTCATCATCACTAGACTCGGATATGTAGCATTCGGTTACCTTAGCACCGTTCGCCATAAGGCAGGGGGTGGATGATGATGATTCTGGTTCGAATGTCATCTCATTGAGAGATTCCTTGTAATCCTCAAACCAAGGATCATGACGAGTTTGATGTCCTTCATAGACCTCAGAGAGACGGTCCAAGATTAGCTTCACGTGATTGAGATGCATGACGTTCCTGAACTGATTTCGGGACAGACTTGAGCAGATGACATCCTTCGCTGTGAGGTTAAGTAATGTGTACTTGCGAATGTCATCAGCCTCAGCCATCTTGCATAGATCGGTAAGCCTGATCTCGGTGACGGTCCACAGTTCGCTGTCCATAGCCATGAGTCGCTTCTTCATCATGGCCTTCCACCGAGGATACTCATGACCGTCAAAGATGGGGCAGGAAACGTTCCTCGATCCTGCAGTCGACATAACTAGAACTCCAAGTGGTTAAACCAAAATCACACAGAACAAGGGAGTACCTTGCTCTGATACCAATTGAAAGTGCGTTCTATCGACTAGAGGGGGTGAATAGGCGATTTTTATGAATTCTTCACTAAGGAATTTGCTGATGAGGAAATTCCTAAATGAAGAACTACTTGCAGCGGAATAAGTACTCAGAAAGGAACATAACAGAACACATGCATAGTCATCATGATGAAATGAAGACAAGCACAGAGTACAGAAAGCGTAAACACAGGATAACACAAGGAAGAAGACGATCAGACTGAAGAAATAGAATTGAGGAAATTGAGAAAGTCTTCAAACAGATATGAACAGGCACACGGCAGCATACATGAGGAATTTAAAGAGTTGAGGAAATAGAACCAGTAAGCTCGATGAAGACAATGATTTGGTAGACCAGTTCCAACTGCTGTCTCAGTTGTACATCTGGTTGGAGCGGCTGAGTATTTAAACTCGAGTACACCCAGTCCCGGACACACAGTCCTCACCATATTCTCCTTGAGCTAAGGTCACAGACCTCGCCCAATCACTCGTGGTAAGTCTTCAGGTGACTTCCGAACCTTCACAAACTCGGTCACTCGGCGATCCACAATTCCTCTTGGATGCTCTAGACCTTGACGCCTAACCATCTGGAAGAAGCACAATCTTCAAAGGAAACAAGCGTCCGATCCACGCAGGATCAATCTCTTCAGTGATGCTCAATCACTTGGGGTTTTGTAGGTTTGAGTTTGGGATTTTTCTCACTTGATGATTTTCGCTCAAAGTCCTCGGAGGATGGGTTGCTCTCAAATGACAAGTGTCAGTTTCACTCGGAGCAGCCAACCAGTTAGTGGTTGTAGGGGGTGGCTATTTATAGCCTAGTGAGCAGCCCGACATGATAAGACATATATGCCCTTGTCTGATATGACCGTTAGTTGGGTAGATATTTTGGGACAGCTGGCGCGTAGCACAGCAACGGTTGGAATGTTTGAGGTTCGAATTCCTCAGGGCTATCATGTTCCTCACTTGGTAGGCAATCCGCACTGGCGAATTCCTAACTCTTCAGTCAGAACAAATTCCTCAGAGACCAGAAGAACTTCGTCTCTGTCACTGAAGAATATGGCTGAACTGTGTGAGATTTCCAATCGCTTCACTCGAAGGGATTGGTAGGTGTAGTATTTTGAGTTGAGCATCACATGGAAATTTTTCCTTAGTATTTCCTCGACCCCCTTTAATAGTACGGTGTTTCCTATGACTCAAGAAAGAGAAAATGAAACTATGAAAACAAAAGTCTTGGCGCTACATGTTCCTCGAATGAATACCAAGTCTTCAAGGTCACACCAATTTCTTTACTTTCAAAGTCTTCAGAAAGTTTTTCAGAAATCCAAAGTCTTCAGCCAAAGAACTTCATGTTTAGGGGTCGACTTTCTCTGTAAATATCAAACTCCTCATAGACTTATAGACCTGTGTACACTCACAAACGCATCAGTCTCTTAACCTATAAGTCTTCAATAGACCAAAATCACTAAGGGGCACTAGATGCACTTACAGCCACGGGGAGCCCGGGAGGCGGCGACGCACCGCCGACTGCCAGAAGATGAAGCAACACCAGACCGTGCACACAATGGCGGTGAAGGTGACCCAGAAGATTAGTAAGAACAAGGACTTGACGAGGGAGCCCATGATGTGGGACCTCCGCACTTGGTCGATGGAAGGCGGCGAGGAAAGAACGAGATCGACGTCGAGGAGTGGCGGATCGTCTTCCCTGACGACGGCACTGGCCCGGACCCATCTCTTACCGAGGGTGGCCTGTCGAGGAAGGATTGGCTTGACCTCCACTTCGCACGTTGAATTTGAGTAGTTTTTAGTGTAGTTTAGTTTAGATTTAAATTTATGTTTAATATTCGGTTGTCAAGACTATGTATGTTGAACTTATGTTTAAATGTATGCAAATTTTGTTGAAACTAGATTGAATTTACACAAATTTACGTTTTACTCCGCTAAGTTTAAGGGATTGGCTAGAACCGACCAAAATTAGTGGAGTTTAAATACTCCACTAAGGTTTTCTCGGTTGGATACTCCGCTATTTTTTAGGGATTGATAGGAAATTCCTTTACATGCATGTGACTAGAGAAGCCTCACTCGCATTCGTTACTACATTCACATGTTTGAGTTCTCTTCGCTTAGTTTACATCTCATCACCAGCGTCACTCATACGCTCATACCATTTGCATTTCGGCCGGTAATGGCACGAAGACGACGCACCGGCACACCGGGCACGTCGAGTGCTCATGCAGCCACTGGTCGATGCACTGCTGGTGGAACATGTGTAGGCACGCCGGCATCCGCTTCACCGCGTCCCCCTTCTCCACCTCCCCGAGGCAGATCGTGCACTCTCACCCACCGCCGTCCTCCGGCTACTCGTACGCCGGGATGCCATACGCCGTCACCACCCGTGTGCCACCATGCACCGGTGGCTCCCGGGCCGGCGCGGGCATGTGACTCGGTGCCTGGTCCAGAAACTGCGGCAGAGCGCTGCCGCCGCTGCCTATGTTTCGGCGGGCGCACGCGCTCCGGCATGGCAGGCAGAGAAGCCAACCCGCGCCACGGAGTGCCCCGGTGGCGGAGGCCAAGCACCAACGCAACGCCGACCGCTGGAAGAAGGCGCGACAGGAGACCGTGTACAAGCCGGCCGTGAGGCTGATCGAGAAGAGGAGGTAGACGGAGGTCGCGATGGAGCCCTTGCTGTGGGGCTCCCGCGCCAGCTGAACGAACGCGCCGACCATCATGACCATGGCGCCGATGCAGACTGTGTTGGTGATGGCCTGCGGGAGGCAATCCCAGGCCATGGCCTCTCGTGTCTTGATTTGACCGTAGAACTAGCTAGCTATAGCTAAATAGGCCACCACCTGTAAACTGGCTCAGTTTCTCAGAAATTTCGAAGTGTTTTGCGAGCTTAATTGCCTCGTCAAAGTCTTCATCGCACAAGAGTTCCAGTGCGACAGACAACGAAGCAAGCAATGAGCCATTGAGCCAACCATAGGAGGAACCGAGGACGTACGAGACAACTAACTGAGCGGTTGTTGTATAGTACGGTTAAATGTGTAATACTCTCTTCGTTCCAAAATTCTTGTCTTAAATTTATCTAGATACGGATGTATCTAACACTAAAACGTGAATAGATACATCCATTTGTAGATAAATCTAAGACCAGTTAGATACATCCGTGTGTTCCCAAATCTAAGACAAAAATTTGGGATGGAGGAAGTATCTACAAATATATGGAGTATTACATATCAACTCCTTCCGTCCCAAAATTCTTGTCTTAATACATCTGTATCTAGACAAATCTAAGACAAAAAATTTGGGACGAAGGAAGTACATATCTTAATATAGTCGGCACATTTCTACGGCGACCGTATACATTTAGAACGGTGCAGAGGCTAGCTGTTTTGCATGCAACGCTGGGGCCTTAAGTTACCTCCTTGATTTTTATTTCCATACAGAATCTTATTGAAATCACCGGAAACAATTCACGGTTGGCCAACCTCCGTCTGTAGAGGGAGTGAAGATAATCCTAAGCCAAGTGCTTCCGGTCAATCCTAGATGCCATCCCCACTTGCACATCCATGAAACAAAAAGGTTTCAGGTTTTTCCCATGTTACATTGCCCTTTGGATTTGGGTCGTTGCGACATCCAAAGGACAATGTGCAGTTACATGCTTCTGACCAGAGAGGCCTCACTCGCAGGTCGCAACGTACCACCAGTAATTACTAACACTGATGTAGTACATTCACGTCTTTGAGTTCTCTGCGCTCAGTTCTATTATCTCTCATCACCAGCGTCACCCATACGTACGTCATACCATTTGGGCCGGCAACGGCACGAAGAAGTTGCACCGGCAGACCGGGCACGTCGAGTGCTCGTGCAGCCACGGGTCGACGCACTGCTGGTGAAATGTAAGGGATAGGATACAGAGGAAGCAATTGCACTCGATCTATTCTCACTAGTTCGATCTCAGGTTCGATTACAGTGTTTGGGATACAGGAAGAGCAAGGGGAATAGGGTTAGGGTTGCCGCCGCCGGTGCCTTGATCCTCTGGATGGATCACTCACTGATGGAGCTGCCTTAAGTAGTGGTTGGTGTTGGGCTTCACTGCACCCAGGCCGGTCCAGTAACGCGCGGGTTGGGCCTTCTCTCCCTAACGGGCCTGGCGGGCGAGCTTGGCGAGCCCTGGAGCTGTGGGTCCATCTTGTCAGCTTGCCCGTGGGTAGCAGGGGCGCTGACATCCCCTCCCCCTTGAGAGGAGGCTTGTCCCCAAGCCTGAGCTGCCGGGAAGCGGTCTTGTAAGGCTTCTCTGTCTTCCCAGCTGTCGGGTGTGCTTGCTCGATCTGGCCACCGAATGAGAACCTGCTCAATCATCGATCCATTCTTCTTGCGCCAGCGTTTCTCGAGTACCGCGACAGGGACTGCAGGAATGTCAGAATGAACTGGGAGTTCTGGGGATGAGATCATACCCGAAACGAGGCAGCGACGCAGTTGGGACACATGAAAAACTGGGTGCACTTGGGATTGTTCCGGAAGATCCAATTTGTACGCCACTTCATTGATCTTGCTGATGATCTTGAACGGGCCGTAGTATTTGAATGACAGCTTGTGATTGGCACGCCGTGCCACTGAGGTTTGAACATAAGGCTGTAACTTCAGGTAAATGGAATCACCAACCTCGAATGCCCGCAGTGATCTATGCTTGTCCGCTTGAGCTTTCATGTGTTGCTGAGCACAATGAAGGTGTTGCTGAAGCAGATCCTGAATCACGGCGCGCTCGTCGAGCCATGTTTGCAAGGCTGGCACTGTGCACTCGGTGTTACCTGTTATGCCCCAGTGACGTGGTTCGTGCCCAAACATGGCCTTGAATGGAGACATGCCGATGCTTGAGTGGTGGGACGAGTTGTACCAAAATTGGGCAAGTGGAATCCAGTGGCTCCAACGCCGTGGGCAGGCATGCACAAAACACCAGAGGTAAGTCTCAACACATTGGTTGACGCGCTCGGTTTGCCCGTCCGTCTAGGGATGGTTGGCCGTGCTCATACGCAACTCAGTGCCAGCGTACTTGAACAACTCGCGCCAAAACATGCTGGTGAACACCGGGTCTCTGTCTGAAACGATGGCCCCCGGGAGTCCATGGATGTTGTAGATGTTGTTCATATAGAGCAGAGCCACCTTCGATGCAGTATAAGGATGGGCGAGCGGCAGAAAATGGGCAAATTTTGTGCGCTTGTCGACCAGCACCCATAAGCAGTTGAATTTACCAGATTGGGGGAGCCCATCGACGAAATCCATGGTTATCATATCCCAGGGATGTTGAGGAATTGGCAGAGGTTTCAAAAGGCCGGGGGACGCTGCTCGGTCTGGTTTAGCTTGTTGGCAGGTGGGGCAGCAGCGCACATACTGGAGTATCTGAATCTTCATCTTTGGCCATGCGAATAGTCGGCGAATGCGCTGGAAGGTGGCAGGGAACCCCGAGTGGCCTCCCATCGGGCTGTCATGGAATGCAGAAATTATCTTCAGCTGGATTGCTGTAGAGCCGCCTAGCCAGATGCATCCGCGGAAGCGCAAGATGCCGTTCTGAAGGGAGAAACGTCCCTTAGGGTCCTCTCTGATGGCCAGCTGCTCAAGCAATTTTTGTTCTTGTGGGTTGCAGTTATAACTGGACAGCACATCATCGAGCCAGCTGGGCTGGCAAGAAGTGACAGTGAACAGCGTTGCAGTCGGTTTGGAGCGGGAAAGGGCATCAGCTGCTGTGTTTTCGGTGCCTTTCTTGTATCTGATGGTGTAGCGTAGACCCAACAGTTTGGTGAATGCTCGTTGTTGCCAAGGCGTTGTCAATCGCTGCTCTTCCAGGTGAATCAGACTTTTCTGGTCCGTATGGATAATGAACTCGCTATGCTGCAGGTAGGGACGCCATTGCTCTACTGCTACTATGATTGCCAGGTACTCTTTCTCGTAAGTAGAGAGTCCCTAGTACCTTGGGCTCAAACTTTTGCTCATGAACGCAATAGGATGGCCGTCTTGCTGAAGTACTGCCCCGATGCCCTTGTCACGCGCGTCTGTTTCAATCACAAAGGTTTTGTTGAAATTGGGAAGTGCTAGAACTGGAGCAGAGGTGATTTGTTGTTTCAGCAGGGCAAATGCTTGTGCAGTGTTGTCAGTCCATACAATGGGGCCCCTTTCTTCAGCAAGTTGAAAAGTGGCCTGGCGATGACGCCGAATCCGCGAACGAATCGGCGGTAGTAACCTGCCAATCCCAAGAAACGGCGGACCTCTCTCGCGTCTTGCGGGGTAGGCCATGATTGGACTGCCTGAACCTTACTGGGCTCTGTAGCAACTCCTTTGTCGCTGATCACGTGGCCCAGGTATGACAACTGCTGTTGGCCAAACTCGCACTTGCTGATCTTCACTTTCCATTGATCTCGGCGAAGGAGTTGAAGGACTTGGCGCAGGTGATTGAGATGATCTTGCCATGTTTTGCTGAAGACCAGTATGTCGTCGAAGAACAGAAGCACACAGTCTCGTAGTAAGGGATGGAATGTGTCTGTCATTGCGCCCAAGAAGGTTGATGGTCCACCCGCCAATCCAAACGACAACACTTTGAACTCATAATGCCCTGTGTGGGTTTGAAATGCTGTTTTGAATTCCTCCCCTTCTGCTAGCCGTATCTGATGATAACCAGACCGCAGGTCGAGCTTAGTGAACCATGCTGCGCCGTGCAGTTCATCCAACAATTCTTTAATGATCGGGACAGGGAACTTGCTGACGCATGTCATGGCATTGAGATGCCTATAGTCAATGCAGAGACGCCATGTTCCATCTTTCTTTTTAACCAGAATAGCGGGCGAGGCGAAACTGCTACTGCTGTGTTGAATGATCCCGGACTGCAGCAGCTCTTCCACCTGAGGTTCAATCTCTGACTTGTGATCAGGTTTGTGCCGGTACGGTCGAATATTGACAGGATGAGCGCCGGGCATGAGTGGGATCTTATGATCACACGCACGGCGCGGTGGCAAGCCTGTTGGTTCCCCGAACACGTCTTGAAATTCATCTAACAGTTGCTGCAGTTCTGGCGCTGGTGGTGGCTTGCTCTGTTGCTCATCAGTGACTGGGTATAAGAGGGCAATGTGCAGTAGCGAACCTTGCCGGTACAAGTTCGGCAACTGTAAGCTGGTGATTAAGTGGCACGTTGAGGAGTTGGCTTCGTGGCCGAACAGGCGAGCTGGACCCAGAGGTGTAGGAATCTGAATAACTTTGCTCTTCCAATCGACTGTCATGGGGCTGTGCTGCTCTAGCCAGTCCATGTCAAGTATGGCGTCGTAGGTTCCGAGAGGAAGGATCTTCATGTCAGTGGTGAAATCCTGCCCTTGTGACGACCATTGACAGCCAGGTATGCTTGCTGAACATGTGAGCTCGCCTCCATCAGCGACGCGGACGCGACACTATTGTTGAAGAGGAATCACTCCAGTGAGCTAGTCAGCCAGCCGTTGATCGATGAATGACGTCGAGCTGCCGCTGTACACCAACATGAGGACCTCGCGCCCTTGGATGGACGTGAGCAGTTGGAACGCCTTGGTGGAGACGCTGCCATCTAGCGCAGCCCGAGAGATGGCCATGGCAGAGTCAGTTGGTGGCTCAATGGCGGTGGGGTCGATCGCTGCATCGATGCCGAAGAGTTCGAGCATCTCTTCGACCACATGTAATTGCACGGTTGTAGGGCAAACGTGCTCTTGGCCCCAGCGCTCCCTGCATTTGAAGCATAGGCCGCGGGCGCGCCTGAAGTCGCGGAGGGCCTTGA